GCGGGATGGTATGCTGTGCATGCTTTTGGGCGACATATGATGTATCCAGGTTCAGTGGCGCTTTTGAATTGGTTGCTTAGTGGTAGTCTGCTGTCAGCAAGGAATCTCATGGTTTCGGCTAAGGTAAGGATTCACTTATCAAGGTATAAACATTTCATGCAGATTTTTTATTTGACTATCTTAGAATGGACAGAGGGCGTGGCTCAGAAGTGTTGAAGGTGATTTGATTGATACGATGTTTATACGAGGAGAAGACGACACCCCTGAGGAGAGGTTTGTAGCCCTGCATTTGTTTCGTGTTTGGTTTTTAGTGTGTTGATTGCAGGCATAGGACTCTTATAATTGGTTGTGAAGGTAATGCTGGCTACTACGAGATAGGCATAGCCAACACTCCATCTCAGTTGGGATATTCTGTGAGTTGGCGCTTCAATCATATTATTTGACATAGTTCTTCTTCTCCACTACTTTCACGTATTTTTCGCGGTTATCTACTGCATTTTAGATCTTGTATACAAAGACATTTTATGAATAATCCTTTCCAGGTTCTTGGATGGAACCAGCCAGGTTTTGGCCAGAGCTCAGGCTTGCCTTTCCCGAAGAACGTACTGGCTGGTGCTGACGCTGTGATGCAGGTGATTTTATCGACCTTCGCCATTTTTATTCTATCTCGAAATGTGTGCTTCAGTATGCTATAAATGTACTTGGCTTTCGAGAAGAAGACATCGTGTTGTTTGGATGGTCCATTGGCGGTTTTCCTGCAAGTTGGTTGGCGGCTAACTATCCAAGTAAGTTGGTCAAGTTGCCTCTCTATCGTTAAGAATTCCTTCTTCAAACATTTCTATCCTTAAGAGGTCAAAGGTGTCATTCTTGATGCTGTTTTCGACGATGTCCTTCCTCTGGCTCAAGCTCGAATGCCAAAGGTATTTGTTCATGATTGCAACCGTAACTTCTATGAATGATATTAACTCAGTTTCTTGGCGACGTGGTGGAAGTCGCTGTGCGGACACACTTTGATCTGGATATACAGGCTATAGTAAGTTCGAAATTTGCAATTCACAAACCAGTGGTAATATTCTTTCTTTAGCTCGCTCACTATAAAGGTCCAGTCAAGCTTATTCGTCGTTTGCAAGAAGAAATCTTGATCACTGATGAGACTGGTACAGAGGCGGATCGTCGCGCTAGTAATCGGTTGGTTTCGACGGTTTGCTAGCAGTTTCGGAGCTTTTTAATAAACTGTTATAGAGCGAACTTTTTGCTGAAGAAACTTCTGAAACAACGGCATCCGACATTGATAGATGGTTTAGAATCTCAGGTTTGTTTATATATGAAGGTTGGAAGTTTAGTTATTGCGATGTATCAGAGGGGTTTTGTTTTCTTTTTTAGTATGGGTTAGAAGCGCATAATCAAAGTAGGCGCCAAACTAGCTGCTTGCGCTTGTGCAATAGAACGCGCGCAGAATTAAAGGCAGGTAGTAATCTGGCGTCACGTCGGGCGGAAATGAAAACACGATGAAATGCCAGTGCCTTCGCAGAGAATGGGGGGATGATGAGGAGGCTTTCGAGGATGAGAGAGATAAAACACTCACAGGATAAAAAAAACTTGTTGTTGCGGCGGACGCCGCTTT